AAAAATAATCATTATTTTCGCATTCAATCGCTTCATTTTTAAACAATAAATTAAACATAAATTATTAAAACGAAAATTAGAATTACATTTAAAATGCACTCAAAAACTCTATTGAATATAAGTCTTAATAATATGTTAATAAAGTCTGTGTGTCATTATGTACCGGCTAATAGTAATATAATGTAAAACACGTGCTCTCATTGTGTTTGAGAATACCTGTTAAACCACTTTAATACCATTGCTCTTGCCTATTTTGGAGTGCATGTACTTTTGGTAAATGTATTTTTCTAATAATAATTTTGAAATCACTATTATTTTTTGTAAAATATATGCAAAGTTATATATTTTTTAATAAAACTTTATTTTATAGATTTAACGCACAATTTTTTAAAATGCAAATAATATAATAATAATTAAAAAAATAATTATAAATTCAAAACATTATATATAATAATGTTTCCAAAAGCCATCGCAAGTCTTATCAAAAGGATTGTTCAAAACGCGAGTAATATTACTCGGATTGAGTTCACGTACTTTAATATCATGTTTACTGTCCATCATCTGTGGCCACGAGATATCTGGCACTCTATACATACACATAAACAAGACAATAAGCAACAATAGTCTAGCTAATTAAAATTACACATATAAAATAAACACTTATTAATAAATTACCCTGTTTTAGCGAAATTTGTCCACATAATGATCATCTGTTTGCTAAAATATGTCTCTTCTTCTGTGAACTGATCCGGTATTATAAACGGCATCCCAAACACAAAGGGCACGTCAGCCGTATGGCAAATACCACGTTTACAATTGGTCACATTGGCCACAAACTTGCTCTCGTAGGTCAGCTCATAGAAATAGACATTTCTACTCTGATTCCCATCATGGTTGTTTTTGGCAAACTGTTTCGCGAACACATATGTCGGGCATTTGATGGTCAGATCGCCGACAAACCTATCGTACGCCCACTCGATCTCTCGGGGCTGATCCGTGTCCACCAGATTAAGGTAAAAGTCGGTGACATTCCGGGCGTCCAATCCGTGGTATATCTTGTTTGTGGCCAAAACCAGGTCTTGGAAGACATCAGCCGTTATATTCTCAATGTGTTGGTATATATGGGACCCAAAGCCCGACCCCTCGTCGCGCACAACACCAGCCATTAGATCAATGTCTGGCAGTCAAAGAGATGGCATGTGTTAATCAAACAGAAATTATTGTAATAATTAATTAAAACATTAAAACATATAGTTTATAAGTAAAAATATTTTACCTTGGTTAAATTTTTTGAACGCTAATGCCTTTTGTGCAGATATGGGCAAAAAGTCTGTGTCCTCCACAGGGAATGTCATCTCCGCCTCAAATTTTAATATGTCTTTGGGATCCGCTCTTCGCAGACATTGCAGCCAATCCTCTAATGGATTGCATTTCAACTGTTGTGCCATATCTTTGGCCAGAAGTAAGGCCTCAGTCTTATTGATCACATCCCTGTCCTTATGGTTCATATAAGACCCGCTTTCCAGTATAGCCCTCGCGAAGAGGCCTTTACTTAACGGAGAGATGATGTGTGCGGACACAGACCACCCGCCGGCGCTTTGACCAAATATAGTGATCTGATCCCTATCTCCGCCAAACTTATGGATGTTTTCTCTGACCTATTATTATGCCATTAATTCATAAATTATTTCATTAATTAAATAGAAATTATAATTAAAGTTAACAACAAATTGATTCCCATTTGAGAGCTAATAACTGGTCATAAAAGCCGACATTTCCGGGCGCGTCCTCCCGATCCCCGTATATGAAACCAAACGGTCCTAACCTATAGTTCGGGGCCACGAGTACGACATCATTGGCGGCCAAAACACTGCCGTTAAAGTCGTGAAAAACTATGGATCCAGTGGTGAGTCCGCCGCCGTATATCCAAAACATCACCGGTTTTAGTGCCGGCGCTTTTGGTTTGGTTGTACCGGTGTTTCCCGCCTGTGGTGTCCATATGTTTAATACCAAACAGTCTTCACTTGTGGTTACATTTCCCCACAACTCGTGGGCGTCTTCGGGAGGTATTTGTATGCATGAGTTCTTCGGTACCGTCGCGTCGATTGTGGCCTTAAAAACAATGTAAAATACAATATAAACTTGTATTAAGTGTGAAAATACATCAATGAACGTACCTTTTGTGGTGTACTTATGGGCACCGGTCGGGCGAACCGAAGTGCGCCCACTGGCGGCTCAGCGAACGGTATGCCTAAAAACTCATGTATTTTCCGGTTGAGCACCGGTAGGGTCTGACCCCTCACTACACCCGATGTGGTGTTAACATCGATGCTCTGCCCGTAGTTAATAACACTAGCGATTAGTAACACATTTAATATAAATTGTGTATTTATTAACATATTATAATAAATATAATTATTCTACACAAAATTTAATTCTACCATAAATAAGATTTAACCACAAAATTAAGTGATTAAACAAAATATAATGACTATGCAGTTGTCTATCACTTTTATATCAATGATTTTGCTATATTTTCTTAGAACTATTAAATTATATTTTTAAACATTATTTTAAGTCTTATTCATAATAAGTTATTATACAGTGTTAAGTGGTTATTGTATTATATTTTACATTATGGTATTTTTATCATCTATTATTGGTAAATATCTAAAAGTCTAAGAAAAAGGCATTAGTTTAACATGTTCAACAATAATAACAATCATCAGTACCACCAAGGACATTTATTGAAACGCATAAGTGCTATTGAATGTGTCAATCATACACTTCAATACAACATTAAATTGTTATATATTGTGAAAAATTACATAATATTGTATGTTTTAAATCAATCAAAGATATTTTCAATAGTTTCCGTAAAATGTACGCAAATTGAAGTTACGTTGTACATTCTGGTGAATTACCGTTTTATATAAATATGTAATATATTATATTACATAATCTGAGATGAAGGTTTTTTAATGATAAATGTCAATTATTATTTTAGAATATTCTTTTTGTAGATTATTTTTATTAGTTTTAATAATAATTGTTAAAAATGTGTTATAAGTTATTAAATTAGTTAATCTATAAAATTATTTAACTGTGATTTTTACAAATATATTTAAGCAAATAGAATTAATTAAAATAAAAAAATGCATGGTTAAATTTATAAATAATTATAGTATTTAAAACATCGTTATAAAATTTATTTATTTATTCATACTTTATTTAGTTGTGTTAAAACTTTAATGAATATGTTTCACATGTGATTGCAATTCATATGTCGTAACAAACCGTTGATTACAGTTATTATGAATACATTTATGAAGTTTTATATTCATATGTCTTCTCATATGTGTTTTGAAAGAAGATTGATCTGAAAATCTGTTATTACAATCATTAAAACGACAAACAAATGGTTTTTCTCCCGAATGAATGCGTTTGTGTTTAATTAGATTTGATTTTTGGTCAAAAAGTTTGCCACAATTTTTTTCATTACATTTGAATCTCTTTTCTTTCAAATGAACACAACTTTTGTGTTGAATTAAAGACCGCTTTGTTGTAAAAAATTTATGGCATTCATTGAAATCGCAAATAAATCTCACATTTAAATGAACGCTATTTTTATGATAAAATAATGAAGAATTTCGTGCAAAAATTTCATTGCAATTATTAAAATCACATTTAAATTGCTTTATTTCTGAATGAATTAATTGATGTGAAGTTAATTTACTTTTATATCTTGTTTTGTATTGACATTTAGGCCAAAAACAGTGAAAATAATCATC